GGCCATCGCTCTTAGGTTGGAGGCCATTGCTTCTAGGTTGGAGGCCAACGCTTTTAGGTTGGAGGCCATTGCTTCTGGGTTGGAGGCCATTGGAGGCCATTGCTTCTAGGTTGGAGGCCCTCGCTATTAGGTTGGAGGCCATTGCTATCAGTTAAGTTTCCCTAAAATCTAGGAACCATGTCATTAGAGAGTCAATTTGCCCAGCAACCTGGTCTGGCGATCAGGCCATACAGGCCACAATCTACGGCCGACGTGTGTAGTCAAGCCATGAACAACCTGGCCAAATTTGTAGTCGATACATAGTGAGTCTCGCTGGTTTGGTTGTTGTTCGCAAAACCAAGTACTGTAAGGTATGTCTCAAAAGGCAGGATCCACTTCAATAAGGTCTTGGTCTGCATTTGGACTATTACACTCCCAGGCCGGGTCTCATGGTACGTTATAAACTCATAGCACCGTCGTGAACCGTTCAGCCACGGCATCATCGTGGCAAGCGCCACGGCGCAAGCGCGAGCGCCGTCCGGGGCTCCGGTCCACAGGAGACGTACCACACCATGAACTGCTCAAAGCCCAGCTTGCCCAGGTGGTGAGGATCCTCATCCAAAAAAACACCGTTCGACGGCCGGTTCAACGCAGATGCCGTCTTTAAGACAGACTCTAAGTGGGAAATACCCGTATAGACCCATAGACATGGGGTATATGATATGTGGATAGAGACTGAAATGATAGAGCCGATCTACCTGGCATACCCTAGCCATACAAATGTTACCGTAGTAGAAACCAGTTGCTGGATGTTGGTGTAGCTTGTTCATTTGGAACACGCACAGACGGTGCACGTGGTCAGTATGCACTGATATAGAATGATGTGATGCAACATTACCGGTCTGGTGTGTTGAAAAGTGATCTCATATGAGCGTCTGCCAAAACCACTGATTGATCAAAATGCCATGCCTCAGGCCTCAGGCAGGCCTGAGTGAGGCCTGTCGCTTTTTTGGGGGAGGGCCCGGGAGGATGTTTTGGACGCCAAAAAAAAGAAACGAAACTTACAGATTCGGGCAACATCCCTGGACCATCCAGTCGGGGTGCCCTGTCTGGAAGCCATCCTGTCGGTAGTGTGGGGTAGTCCAGCCGGGATGGTCCTGGTACGCAACCAATTGTGGGATTTCTCGTCTTCCTCGTTTTTCCACCCACTTTGAACATGCAGGAACCCGCGAAGGGGAATTCGGAACCCGGGAGTGTCCCCAGTTTTGAACGACCCAAAGAATCCGGGCCCTCAACCACATTCTCGTAGGGTTTTGAGATGTTTTGAGGGTCCGGACCCCAGCTATGAGGGGTCCCACCCCTGCCCAAGGTTTAAAAATGGACTCGGAATGTCCGGAGTTCAGGAATCTCCTGAACCCTTCAGACATGTGGTGTCCCCCCAAAAACAAACATCAAACGTGGATAGTCCAACTATTAGTTGAATCTCCAATTTCGGCCGTTGTGTCAGTCAGTCAGTCAGTCCTCCCATTTCGTCTTCGTCGTCTCAAAACCACCGATTTCGATCCCAACTTCACCGCTGAGTCCAGCTGGAGGCGTATTGGGTCAATACCGGAAAGAAGTGATCATCCACCGTCTATACTTTTACACGCACTGGTTCCGAGGTCCGCATCGAACCTGAAAAACCACGGGTTTGTAGAGGAAAATACTCTTCCAAAGGTCCATTTTCAGGTTCCATGTGGGCCTCTTCCCGGGTGTCAAGACCCCAAGATTCGGGTCTTTCCTCCAGGTTTGGAAGTATTCGAGCGGTTTTGGCTGATGTCAACTCATCTTCCAAGAGTAGGGTCCATCCTCACACACCTCTTCCCTCGGCCCTTCCGTTCACGGGCTCTTGGACACCCCTTCATTCACCTCTGTACGAGGCGGCTCCATCACCTCTTCACTCGACCCTGGACTTTCGGGTCCTCTCCATCCTCACGACCCGGGCCAAAACCACCGACCTCGGGGCGGGACATCCGCCAAGCGGCTGCCTCATTCCAATAGCGCGCCAAGCGGGCTTCCGAGATATCCGTCGGCTCCTTGACCTGGCGATCCCGATCCGGCGATCCAGATCGGAAACAAGCTTCCGCCTATGGGGTCAGAACCGGGAAACCTTGGTTGACCCATCAAAATGAGTAGAATGGGATTGCCTGGGAGGTCAATCCACCCAAGGTTGGGCGCTCCGGGAGGTCAATCCACAGCCATATGTTACTGCGTATATGCGGCGGGATTTATTTGGTACTAAACTCAAACAAACTATCTATATTATGTGGGGGCCCTATTGCGTTTCGACTACTTATATACGTAGGAGGTCATGTCACAGTATCTCGTTCAGGCTATTTTAGTAGCAGGTCACACTATCTCGTTCAGACTACTTTAGTGTCATCAAGCAAAAGCATCTCGTTTATGTGGGGGCCCTATCTCGTTCGCAAGTGAATACTGATGATAGACAAGCAAATAGAGCATGCCGTAGACTACTTTAGTAAAGTAAAGCCTAAATTGGTTGCTCATATAGGGTCCCAGTTCAGGTCTCTCAATCTCAGGAGCTGTTTTGTTGGTCGGGGAGATGTTGGGGAAGGCGGCAGAACGATTGATGCCCTTATGGAGCCTTTTTTTTGAAAAAGCACGCAGACCGAACTTGGTAGTTCATCAACCAACCGGGGCATCTCTATTCATCAACCAACCCCTCGAACGCACTTTGTTCGGCTCGGGATTGATAGCTAGCAATCGCTAGCAGCTAGCGATGCATCGGTTCCACTCACCAGGGATGAGTCTCAAAAACCATCCAACTGTGATGAAAGTGCCAGACTTTCTTCAAAATAATGCCAAAAGCCCCTTGAAAGGTCCAAGTCCAATGGCATCACCATGTGATGAACAGCGGAAACGCAGTGCCTATGGCGCACGGCAAGGAAAGCCTTTTCCAAGGCAGACTCAAGTGGCCACTAAGTTTGGGCCGGTACGGTCATGGAAAGTCAACAGGTGTGGATGGCCAGGGCACAAGGCAGTTTGTTTCACATCCTTTAGGGGGGATATCATGGCCATCCTCACCCTTCACTGGCAGCACGACAAAGTGCAAAAGCCGCTTCGCTCATGGTCTTGCGAAGCAAGGTGCTGTTGCCCAATCTCTTTGTGAGAGGGTCTGCAATCATCAGATTGCCTGGCACCCAAAAGGTGGTGACACCTAAGGCCCGAGCGCTCACATGGATCACCGCCACGTCGATTTGCGCCCTTCTGTCATGTCCGGCGTTCCCGGACCTCCTGCTCAACAAGTCGTAGAGGGCCTTGGCGTCCGTGACATGGATGCCACTCTGCTTGTCGCAGATCCGGATGCTCTTGACATCCTCAGCCTCTTCCTCAGGGAGCCGCACCACCATCGCCGACGGCTCCGAACCAAGCCTGGTGCCGTCCATGACACATGTGGCTGGGTCCAACACTTCATGCCATAAAGCTCTCACCCATTCCACCTCCGCCAAAGCATCGTCCATAGCCAAAGCCTCACTGCCGAGCGTGGCCTTGATGACCCTCTTCAGCCGGTGTGACTTCCAGCTGTTTATGCTGAAGCTTGCCTTCTGCCCGTCCAGGATGGAGCCATGGGCAAATGCCACGATGAAGCCTCCCTGCGACTTATTCTCCACATTGGCCATTGAAGCATCGGCCACCGTCATCCAAATGCCGTTGTTGGCCTCGATGGGGAGGATGCGCAGGACCTCGTCAGGCGTCTGCTTCAGTTCATTGACGGTCTTGTTCGCCATGAGGATGTGCTCAACCGTCGGGCCATCAGAACTCCAGCTCATGGCCATAGCGCATGCTGCACCAACATCTGGCCTCGCCTCCTTCCCGATCCAAAGCAAGGATCCTCCAACTCCACGGAGCCACGTGATCTCCTGCTCCGTCAACTTTGAGCTTTTGTCGCGAAGCCGTTCTCGAGGAAGGGTCACTGGCTTCAGCTTCTCTTCAATGTACCGCTTCATGCTCACTTGGACTTCATAGTTCTCGAGCTGTGTGAGCGTGCGGCCAATGTACTCAGCTGAGCTCTTGTAGACGTTGCGCCACTTTCCGAACTTGAGTTTGGAGCGCAACTGGTTCATCAGCTCTTGATGCCTCTGGTTGCCGCCTTGGCAGAAATCATCAACATCCAAAAGCACAACTCCTGCCACCTGGAGTGGTGGTCCACTGCTGAGCTCCTCCTCTGTGGGTGGCAGGTAGTACAGGCAAGGGTCGAAGACACTTTCCTTGTAGTTGAGCTCGGTCAGGTGCCTGCGAACCGTCTTTCGCCAAACTGCAGGGGCGTTCACCAAACCATACACGGCTGTGAGCACTCTGATCAAGTCTGTGCTCTTGTGCTGTGGAATGCCTGTTGGTGGCATGGATGCATAGAGTGGACCTTCAGCACGTTCATGCGGGTCACTCTGGCCAAAGGCGCTGGAGACATCCATGATGTACAGCTCATAGTTCATGCTGCTGATGACTTGGAGGCAAAGCATGACAGTGGTGGAAGATGGAGTAGGTGCAAATCTCTCCTGGGTCATGGCGTCTGGGTCCTTGTGTCCAAGGAGAATCCATCTGGCCTTAGCCTTCCAGTCCTCGCCCAGTTCACCAGCCTTCTTTGTGATGATGAAGCGGCTGGGCATGATGCGATGTGGCAGCTCTCGTCGAATGCGAGAGAGCTCATCAGGGTCAGTGATGACCTGGATGGCATTGGAGTTGACCAGGTTGGTGATCTCAAGGACCTTGGCTTTGTCAAACATGGCCTTTTCCTGGGCTGTGAGCTTCTTCTCATCAAGTTCTTTGCCACTTTGTTTGGTGAGGTACGCCAACGAGGACTCCGGCTCTTTGAGGGCATAGTGCATGTCCTTGTGTTCCAACTTGCAGAAGAGTTTGATGTCGCGGTTGTTGGCAATCACTGGAAATCTTCTCTTATCACCCCACTCAGTGACATCATCAGCCCGCCAGATGCCAAAGGTCTTGCTCCTGTTGGCAGTTCGTCCATCTGAAGGTGTAGGACGTGAGCTCCAGGCCAGTCTGACGTCGGTGAGTCGGGCATCTTCTTGTGGCTCTTGGACTCGTGCTTTCTTGGCTGGTTGTTCAGCCGGTTGAGGAAGAAGTGCTTCATAAGGCTTGCCTGGATCTGGATTTCCCGGTCGTGGCCGGTAGATGAGAGTGGTCTCAATGTTCTTGACTCCAGTGGGGAGCTTCTCATGGAGCTTATGGACCGAGAGGTTCTCCGTGATTGTCAGATCCTGAATGATCTTGTTGGCGTCCAAGTCCAGCGTGAGTCGGCGGACCACGTCACTCCACAAAGGACCGCGTGAGTTGGAGCCACGGTATCGCTTGGCCTCAAAGTCGTAGCGGGTCCAGGCTTTCAACTGCTCATGTGTGGGAGGTGCAGTTGGTCCAGTGGACGCTGAGCTCCGGGAGAGTTGATTCTCCACTGTTGCCTTCCACAATTCATCGCCTTCTCTCATGCCCTGCGGCACAACTGCTGCTGCTGGTGCTGCTGCGGCAGGTGTTGCTTGTTGTGTGCTTGACTCTTGTGATGCATGAGGTGGCTCTTGTGCTAGATGAGGTTCATCATCGGCCGAGATGGTCACAGTCTTTGGTGGTGGCTGTGGTCTCGGTGCTGGCGATCGGGATCTTGCCAATGTTGCTGTGGATCCCTTCGCTGGTGTAGTATCTGGTGTTTGTGCACGAGCTGGTGGTGGCGTCTTTGGAGCCTCTCGCATGATGGCCGGAGTGGATGGAGCACTCCTTGTCTGTGGGGATTGAACTTGCTTCAATCCTTCAGGGGGTCCTTGCAAGACCGGTGTTTGTGGTGCTCGTGGTGTAGCTGGTGCCCTTGGTGTTCCTGGTGCCTTCCGCTGAATGTTTCCAGCGGTTGGAGCCGGTTGTTCATCTCGGAATGCTGTGTCTGGTGGGTCGCCCTCTTGCTCCACATCGATGAATCCCAGCTTCTCAGGGTGGAAGCGAAGACGTTCTTTGGCTCTCAGCAACTCGGCTGGAATGACCTCCAGTCCTTGAGCTTCCAAATTGCCCATCTTGAACACCTGGGTCTTGTTGCATCGCCATAGTTCTCCACGACGAGTCACCCACACAGTGCTTCCTTTCTGAAGGACAACGAAGCACGGCCCCACTTTGGCTTGAGCTCCACGTTTCCCTTGTCTCCAAACGTAGACAGGGTCGCCCTCCTTGAACTCATGTTCTTCTCGCTGTCGTCGAGGTCGGGCTCGTACAGCTCGGTTGAGGCGTTCTCGCCCATCAACTTCCATCAAAGCTTTCCTGGCAGCTTGTCGGATCTCATCAGCTCGAAGCCAAGCTGCATCAGCTGTTGGTGACTGCGTCTGCTCAAAGGTGCCAGCATCATTCAGCAACTCCATAGCAATGCTGGGCTGTCGACCAAAGACTCGTTGAGCGGGAGAGAAACCGCTCCTGTTCGTCATGGTTTGGAGCGCCCATGCCACTTCGTGAACCATGTCTTGTACTTCTTGAAGATCAGCTGGTTGTCGAAGTTCACGAGTCTTGTAGTAGACCTCCTTGAACAGTCCACCACGGCGCTCAACTGTTCCATTCTGGTATGGAGAGTCACGGTCGATGACAATGGGCTGGATCCCCAACTCCTCCAAGCCTTCAACAAAAGCACCTTGGAACTCCAGGCCTTGGTCATACAGGAGAAAGCTGGGTGCTCCAAAAGTTCTCACCCATGATCTCAGGAAAGAGGACCAGACCATGGCCGAAGATCTCCTCGTGGCATCCACCATGGTGAAGGTGGAGTACAAGGTTCCAAGGCAAGTGACATTGAGGATTGGGTGCTCATCCGTCGGCTTGCAGCCCATGACAAAGAGCAAATCGACGCCAATGACGACGTTGAAGTCGTAAGTCCTGGGTGTTGCTGCAGGAAGTCGAGATGGCTGTCGTCTTTCCTTGAGACAACCTTCACAGACAAACTCCTTCATGACATAGTCGATGATGTCGGGTCGTGCGCCTGCAGCACGAAGGAGACGAACAAATTCTTTCATCTGTGGATGTCCCAGGTTGACATGTGCTCTTA